ATCTCTCTTCTCCTGCTTGACCATGAAAACAAGTATGCGCACTTTTTATCTATATTTCATTTTCTCTCTCTCTCTCTCTCTCTCTCTCTCTCTCTCTTTCATTCTTTTTTCGCTGTTTCTCTCTCTCTAGCTTTTCATCTGTTTTTATGTTTTTACATTTTTCTCACTGCACTTGCTTGTTTTTGTCATTCAAATAATTTTTTTCACCTAGTCATGAATAACAATCCGCTCTCTACCATAATTTTTTTGTTTTGCTTAATTCTTCGCTATAATTTTATATTCTCTCTCTTTCTTTTTCTCTCTTACTTTGTTCCTCTCGTTCTCTCTTTTTCGTTTTCTTTCTCTTTCTATTTCTCTTTGGCTCTTATTTGTTGTTCATTCACTTTTCTTTCTTTTCTTAAAAAATGTTTGCATAATGTTTTTTGTCGGATACACATATCTATCCACTTTTCTGACCAAGCAGACTCACACACACGCACGCACACATAAACACACACACACACGCACACACACATAAACACACACACACACGCACGCACACATAAACACACACACACACGCACGCACACATAAACACACACATACACAAGTAAAAACATAAAACCGGTCGAGTCTTAAAATAAAATCAGCCTGAGTTCTTTGATCCGCGCCGAGCAATTCCATTTTTTAACTTAATAACCGACGAGATCAACTTAACCCATACAAACATTTGACATAGAAATGACCCTTGACCTAATTTTAATTTTGCTCTGACCTCATTTTGAATGCACAACTGCTAATTTATGCCACCATAGCGTTTTTTTAGGCGATGCAAGAAGGTTTTTGTTTCTTTTGTGTCTTTTTTATTGCAATTTTATCAGCCTTTTTTGCAGATTTTTTGTCAAATTTTTCGCAATTTTTCGAAAATGTTTTGTCCAACTTTTTACAATGCTTTCTCGAAGTTTTCTCAAATTTTTCGCAGATCTTTTGAGGATTTTTTGCAATTAATCCGCTACCAATTGACAGGACAATTGTTACATGAGTCGTAAGAAAATTTGAAATATCAATGAATAAAATATAATAAAAAAAAAAATAAAAAAAAATAATAAAAAAAAATTTTTTTCAATTCAAAAATCACCGGACGTGCAAAATGACGCGTTAGCGATAATGACACCAAGCTATTATATCAATTTACAAATTTTTTATATTTTCTGTTCTTTGTCTTTTCGTTCTTTGTTTGTTATTTTTTTGTATTTTTTTTTCAAGAACAGCGTAGGAAGCCATTTCGTTCTTGATGTACGTTTATAGTAATTCAGATGATTATACTGTCGCCATTATTGCCACTGTTTTGTAGTTGTTGATGTCGTCGTCTTCATCGTCATCATCATCAAGGTTGTCATCATCAAGATCGTCATCAGCATCGTCCTTTATAATATCGTCTTCAACGTCATCATAAATGCCAATTTCGTTCGTTATAATCAGTTTTCAGTCAGTGCCAGCCGTAAAATCCGCAATAAATGCCGCAAAAAAACCACATCTACACACACACACACACACACACATATACAAACACAAACACACATACACTCACATACATACATGCAAATAGAAATTTTGTCCGCTGGCTCTCTGCGAGCTACTGAGCTGTTTTCAATTTCAAATTTTTCATATTTTTTCCGCGGGCTCTTGGCCAAAGATTGAATCGTTTCAACATTTTCATTTTTTTTCACATTCAAGTCTCCTCTCACATTGTTTTCTCAGTAAATACATCAGCAGGTGAATCAAAGGAAAGCATGACATGGGATGAGCTGTTTGGGACATCGTGCGTTCAAACCCGAAATAGATTGTTAAAAATAAAAATACTGATTTTAAAAACATTATTACTACTACTACTAATAATAATAATGGTAAAACACAAAAAATTACTTTTAAATTACTCGACTAGCTATTGTGCTTATTCTTATACTTTCAATAACTTTCCGACACCTCTTATGTAGAGTTTCAAGTAGGCACAAACACATTTACACGAAATTGTGTGAGCACATGTGTTTTGTACAAGCACAATCAAATTTATACAAAACTGTGTGGGCACATGTGTTTTGTTGAGTGAAGAACTCGTGAGTGGAGAACTTTCACGACAGCACTTAGAAGCAATTCAATAGAGATTGGTGAACTTTAACACATGGTAGCGTAAAGAAATGCTCACAAACATACATACACACATAGATGAATAAAAAATTCACACATACACACACATACACGTACATACACGTACATACACACACACATATACACATACACGTACGCACACACACACACACACACACACGTACATATGTATAATATATACACATAACACATTCTCGTCACGTACTTTGCTTACATATCATTTCTCCTTGAGAGGTAATATTTTGAAGAAACTTCTTTTGAAAAGTTTCCCAGAAAAATTCGACATTAATCTGGAGAAGATTCATAATTGTTTGAATTATTAATATGAGTAAATGTTGTGAAAAACATTCTTTTTTTTTATCTCTTTTATACTCTCTCTCTTTCTCTCTCTTTCTCTCTGTTTCATTCTTTTTGCTTTTTTTTTATTGTTTTTCATTCTTGTATTTTTTTAATTTTTGAGAAAAAAATTACTGAGATCATATTTTAAAAATTTTCCGTTTTCATAAAATATTCAAATGAGCATTATTTAAGTTCTCAAGGTATGTATTCATTCATTCGATCTTCATCTCGTCATTCATTCATTCAATTATTATCCATTCGTTCAATCATTCATTCATTTGTTGGTTCGTTCATTCGTTCGTTCGTTTAGTCGTTCGTTGGTTCATTTATCCATTCATTCACCGTACAAAAAAGTATATTCATTACATTACAAGACAACATTCCATGACCACTCATTCATTACAGCATTATCTACTTCCGCTGAAATTCATTTGGAAACAACTCTTCTTTCATTTTTGTGCTCTATTTTTTCGGGACATTGGCGACCCTCGACCTCCACAAAACCCGATCTTTAACACTTTGTAAGAATTGAAATGTGGTGATATTCAACAAGTGACACGAGGACTTCACGAATGTTGTTTGTTGTTGACCGCGACCTCTTCTCCCTGCAATCTTTCCAGTAGTTGTTAGATTTTCCATTCTTTCCTTCCGCATGATGTGGACAAAAAACTTTAACTGCCCCCAGTGAAGAAGTATTAGCAGTAGTAGTAGTAGTAGTAGTAGTAGTAGTAGTAGTAGTAGTAGTAGTAGTAGTAGTAGTAGTAGTAGCAGCAGCAGAAGTAGTAGTAGTAGTAGCAGTAGTAATAGTAGTAATAGTAGTAGTAGCAGAAGCAGAAGTAGTAGTAGTAGTAGCAGTAGTAATAGTAGTAATAGATGTGGTAATATTTTTATATTTCTGCAATCGCTTTATTAATGACCGTCATTAGATTACTATACATCATCAGATTAAAGAAAGTTTATGAATGAACGAATGAATGAAAGAAAGAAAGAATGATTGAATGATTGAACAAATAACAAACGAACGAAATAATTAATTAATAAATGAGTGAACGAAGTTCAAACAAACGAATGAACGAAAGATCGAATGAATAAACAAACCAACGAACGACGATCAAAAAATGAATGGATAAATGAATGAATGAATGAATGAGTGACTGAATGAATGAACGAACAAACAAATGAATAATTGGGAAACTGAATGAATGAATGACCATGTTAGTACTTGTATTTTTATTTACTGATTTGAACTGAAGGCTGAACAGCAGCCAGACCTGCAAATGAATGCCTAAGAGCACCAAATAATGGTTAGGTTTTGCCATGCTGATGATGATTATGTGAGAGAGAGAGAGAGAGAGAGAGAGAGAGAGAAAGAAAAAGAGAAAAACAAAGAAAAAGAAAAAGAAAGAGAGAAAGAAAGAGAAAGAAAAATAAAGTTGGGTTATCGTTTTTCATTCCTACATTTTTTCCATTCTTCTTTCAACCAATATGCTTTTTTCTTTTTTATATTTTGTTATTCGTCTCTTCCTCTTTCTTTCTCTATCTTTCCTCTCTCTCTTTTTTTATACGGTTATCGTGCATCAAGTTCAAATTCTCGGACTTTTCATTCTCCATCTCCATCAATCAAAACGTCGGGATTCTGAACACGTGACAGGAAAAGGATCATGATTATGATGAGGATGATTGAGATGATGTTGTTGTTGTTAGCGGTGATAACATACATACATACATACATACATACATACATACATACATACATACATACATACATACATACATACATACATACATACACACATACATACATACATACATACATACATACATACATACATACATACATATATACATACATACATACATACATACATACATACATACATACATACATACATACATACATACATACATACATACATACATACATACATACATACATACATACATACATGCTGGCACCTTCTGCCTTTTTGGCTTCTGCTGCTGCCACGGTGGCCCTCCAGGATCTGATGTTGCCGAGGGATGGGATTTATGTCGATAACTTCAGAATGCAAGTATACGACATGTGGCGCGCCACCAACGGAGATGTGGTTGCGCTCGAAAACCCCTCGCAAAAACACTGGATCGCCCCCTGTCTAATAGATCAGTTGATCGAATGCTGCAACTGAATGGCTCTACTTTTGACAAGGCTAGAATTATGGCTGTCAAAAGTGAGTTGGGCTCCGCCTGGTTGAGAGCGCTACCCAACACCTCCTGCGGCACTAGATTGGATGACTCCTGTGTTCGCGTGAGCCTTGGTTTGAGACTCGGAGCACAGTTCGTCACCGAATACGAATGCGCATGTGGGACAAGGGTTGATGAACTTGGATACCATAGCCTTTCTTGTCGTCTAGGTCCTGGAAGACAAGCCAGACATACGGCTGTCAACGAATACCTGGTACGATGTTTTCAAAAGGCTGGTATCCCGGTTATAAAAAAACCCATGGGTTTGATAGAGGAAGGAGCCTTTAGACCTGATGGTTACACTATCACCTCACGGGCTCAGGGACGGTCCCTGGCTTGGGACTATGGCTGACCGATATATCGGCTACACTTCAGTTGAGGCGGGCACTTCTGCCCTTAAAGCGTCCAATTTCAAAAATGAAAAATACGTTTCATTAAACAATTTAAGCAAAATATTTCAACCCATTTGCATTGAAACGTTCGGACCAACAGATAAGCACACATCATTATTTATTAACGAATTAACAAGAAAAATAGTTAATATAACGGGTGATCCTAACGAAGGCAATTATTTAAAACAAACTCTTTCACTTTTATTACAAAAATTTAATTCATTTTGCATTCTGGATGGAGCTGCTAGATACCTGACTGTGCGAGACCAGGGACATAGATAAAAGTTGAACTCGGAAACGATTGCATGCCTAACCATGGCTTGTTCATCAAAACGGGTTCATACATACATACATACATACATACATACATACGTACGTATGTACAAACATACATACATACATACATTCGTACATACATACATACATAGACACATACACAAACATTTTCTTTAAAAAATTAATCAGAGATAATATATGTGAACGTCTTTGATCATCTGTCAAACTATTGAACCGCTTATTCTTTTTTTCATTCGTATTCTATCTTTCATTCATTCGTGTGTTTGATCTTTCTTTCTTTCATTTATGCATTCATTTCATTCCTTCATTGATTGATTGATTGATTGGTTGGATGACCGAATGTTAATATTTGAACAGTTTCTTGATTGATGATGCTTACATAAATAAATTTATTGACAGAAAAAATAGAAAAAAAAGAAAGAGAAAGAGAAAGAGAGAGAGAAAAAGAGAAGAAAGAAAGTCTAACTAAACGAGAGAAAGAAAAAAGAAAAGAGAGAGAGAGAGACAAAAAATGAGTGGTGTTGCTAATAAAAATAATAGTTTTTCCTCTTTTTTAACCAAATAAAAAATTCAGAGTCATGAAGACCAAATGAAAAAAAAATTCTTGAAGAGAAATCATGACAAGAACATAATTTAGAGTATTTCTTCAATGATTGAACGCGGCAAATGAGAAAAATGA